AAAGAGGTAGCAGTTTTAGTCTGGATCTGTAAAAGCAGCAAAGAGTCCTGTGGCATCTTATAGACTAACAGACGAATAGGAGCATGAGCTTTCGTGGGTGAACCGAAGAAGTGGGTATTCACCCACGAAAGCTCATGCTCCTATTCGTCTGTTAGTCTATAAGATGCCACAGGACTCTTTGCTGCTTTTATAGAACCTATAGGATATGTCTTGTCAGATTTTGTAACAATTTAAAGATGGGTCAAATTTAGGGCCTCAAAACCTTTACAGTGTATTTCTGAAAAACTGTCTTCTAGTTGCATTGCACTTGAGAATTCTAGGAACAAAAGTGGGGTGCTTGTTTTACATATTAGCATGTGAATACCGGTATTATTTTTGTCTCGTTGAAGTTCCATAGTGAAGTCAACGAGTTTAAGGCCAGAAGGGACCACCAGATCATCAAGTCTGATCTCCTGTAAATCACAGGCCACCAACACCACCCCAGTACGACACACTAAACCCAACAACCAAAATTAAACCAAAGTATTACAGACTACAGGAGACTAAACTAATTATGTGCCAGTGGCACAGAATAGGAGGGACCAAAGTGCATCAGTGCTCATGGCCCCCATAATGGAAGGGAAATGATTAAGTGAGATATACCCAGATAATCCTGGCAAGTGACCCACACTCACACTGCAGAGGAAGATGAAAATTCCCTAAGGTCACTGCTAATCTGAGCTGGGGGAAAATTCCTTCCCAACCCCAGAAAAGGTCATCAGTTAGACCCTGAGCATGTGAGCAAGAACCAGCCAGCCAAGCATATGAGAGGGAGGGAGGGAAAGGGAGAGAGAATGCATGGTGCCACCTCAGCATATTGGCTTTCCCTGTCCAATATCCCATCTCCAGCCATGGCCATGTTGGTGCCCAAGGGGCCAATCCAACTTCCATTTAAATCACTGGAGATTGGATTGGGCTTCAAGATCTGAAAGAGCTCAATCTTGTAAGTCATGTTAGTAGTCCTTACTCATACAAATAGTTCCATTAGAGTTATGTCTAGTCTGCCTCTTCTATACACTCCCTACACATCAAGCCCCAGAACCATGGAAGATTCTCATAAAGTCCAATATACGGAGTCCCTTGTCACGGAGTGTGCAATGACAGAGATGATGGCATTTAATTAGTGAATGGAGGGACTCCTGCTTGTTAAAGTCTTTTGGGAGGACAGATAGATAAAATTATACACATCTACAATAATGTTAGTAGTAATTTAAAAAAAAATAGCTGGAGGGGGCAGGAAGAGGGATATGCGTTTAAAACAAATAGATGGTGAACTAGAGCTTTTACTTTATTTACTAAAATCTGACAACCTTAAACTTTATTTTATTCTGCTCCCATAAGCCCCACCTTTCTATAATGTCAGATTTCAGAAAAATTGTTACCTTGTGAAGAAAAATGTGAATTTCCCAATTTCTGAATTTGAAAGACAGCCTGGAGTCTAGCTAGACATCAAAATGTTATCTCCTTCTCATATTGATTCACTTAACCTCATTTCTGTATATGATTAATTCTCAATGGAATCTCTGTTAAACTTATCTCTATCTGGTCAATATACTGTATAACCATATTGTGAATCAAATAGCTTTTCATTTATACTTTTTTAATACTTATCTAAAAGAAATCTATACTCTGAGACCAAAAACACATCTTTTAAAAGAATTAGTAGCACTTAGAACTATAATATGTAAGCGCAATTTTGGTAGCTAGTGAACTGTGATGTCTGCTGTGTTGCATGATGTCACAGATTCTTCTTTGATGCATAAACAGTCAGGAAAGTCCTGATTCCAAACGCCAGGGGATATTTTTACATTGGATAGCATTTATAGTAAGTATCACATGTGAAGGGCATTTTACAGTTTTGTGGGGATGATTTTGCTGAATATTTGTTAGTGCTCTTTGAAGTGACAGACTAGCCATAAGGAAAGCTGGTACTGCAGTTTTCTTAAAAGAATTCTACCTATGCTATTTTAGTACTAGGTTGTTCCAAATGAGAATGGGAATTATGCAAAAGTGTGTAGTGGCTTTGAAACATGGATAAGCATGCGCAGATTTGAAGGAACACACGCTCATTTGGCATGTACTATGTAATATTAAGAAGAAATGAACCCAGTTTCCCAGACATCAAAAAATAATTCATTAAACTACTGTGGTACTAGCCAGTGCTGAGTGGTTTAATATTATTTAAGTTTTTTGTTGACATTTTGAAGATTACATTTAATCTCATCTGGGACAGATTCATGAAGACATTTTAGGAGGGAAGAGCAAACCCATTGAGCTTCCTTTTCTCTTTCTGAAATTGCATTCTTATGCCACTGATTCCAGAAACAAGTATGCCAGCTTTTCAAACTTGGGTACCTAACATATGCTCCCAAGTGCACAGTTCTCAAGTCAGAGCACCTCACTATACTACTGCTCTCAGCAGTGTCAGTTCTGCCTGTTGAAAAATGCAACTGCTGTAGGAGAAATCATAGACAGGCTTTACAGATGACATCTTCACCCTAGAAATATTATAATTATTTTTCCTGATTATCGTGAGCTTACCCACAATCAGTGCATGCAGGCTCTCATGTGATTGGTCATTTTGTGAGTGGGGGGAGTGCATGGCCCTTTTTGCTCCTCTTCTGGGTCCACTTCTACATGTTGTACAACAGCATGCTGCAATATGAAGCTTAGTATGTTAGAAAAGACAAACATCTTAATAATTTAGAAAAAACAAAAATCTTTCCAACCTGATATTGGGTTTCCAGGGTAAACTTCTGGAGAGCTTTCAGCAGCCCTATCTCCCTGCCCCCCAAAGCAAATTGTGTGATGCACTGTACAAACGTGCACACACACGGGTTTGGTTTAGAGTAAATATTATTGCAATATTTGAAAAATCTTTTTGCTGCTACATCCTTGGCTAGACATAATTATACTTAGCCCTTACCTGGAATTACATCTTCAGAGGGCTTTATTAATCGATTAATTCTGGACATCCCTATGGGCTAGGTAAGAAACTATTATTGCCCCCACCCCTGGGAATCTGAGGCAGAGAGACTAGCACACCTAGGGTCCAGACATCAAAGTGTGACAGATAATCATTCAGTGAAGAAATATGCCATTGAGACAAACTTCTGCTGGGGAAGAAACGGGCAGAGCGCTGTGGCCAGAGCCAGGTCCCCGCCAGCTGAGTTGTGGCGCTCAGACACTGCTGCGTGCAGTGACATGCCACCTGCTCAGAACCCAGAGCCTCAAGGTTACGAGTCTCTAATCTTGTCGCTGCATCTCCCCAGGCCGTGGAGAAGCCGTGTGTTGTCCTGATCGCGGTTACATAAGTGCCCATCGCCCGGAGGGCGGCGGTGGGGATTTGTGGCGCGCGCGCTATGCTCCTGCCTAGGGCAGGTGGCGGTGACATGTGGGGGAGAAGCCGAGAGGGCTCCGGCCCTATGTGTTTGCTCCTTAAGCCGTAAACGGAGCTCAGCGGAGGAGACTGCGAGAGCTCCACGCCGGGTTTTCTGCCGCTCCCCCCTCAGTACACACACACAACACACGCGGCTGCCCGACTCCGGCTGGCGGGGAGCAGCAGAGCAGCGCTCTCGCTCGCCTGCTGCTCCTCTGATGCCACACAGGGAAACCTGGAACATCACCGGGGGCTTTAAAATACCCCCTGGTCTGGGGGGGGCAGGGTAGAGGGGTTCCCTGAGAGCAGCAGCCCCGGACTCTGCTTCTCGCCGCTGCGGGAGGAGGAGCTGGGAACACAGGAAACGTGGTCGCCGCACACACGGCAGCAGCCGCGCTGATTCATTTCTGCTCAGAGCCTTCACAGGGCGGGGGGGGAGGGGAGGCGGCGCTGCCTGTCTCCAGCCTGGGGAAGGCAAAGCTCCCTGCATCAGCCGTCCCGGAGGAGAGACGAGCCGAGCCGCGGGCACCAGGCGCTGCTGCCTCCCGCCAGCATCATGCAGTCTAGGGTCCGCATGCGAGACTGAGCCCACAGCAAACGAGCTTTCCGAGTGTCTCCGCAGATTTTGGTTTCGACCATTGACTTTAAGGCGGAACGAAGGAGGCTGGAGACTCTGTTACCCAGACAGTGCCTTTGTGGGTCCAGCTGGAGTCTGAAGCCTGCCCTCCCTCAGTGCCCTGCGTTAGCAATATGAAGGAGCAGCACTCATGTGTGGGCACTGGGCATCTGAGCATGGCTGGGTATGGCAGGATGGACCCTTTGGAGCTTGCTGTTAGCCCTGTGAAGCGCTTGAGAACTGAGTACTCCTTTCCCTATCTCTTCGCAGAGGAGGCCTACCAAAAACTGGCCAGCGAGACCCTGGAGGAGCTGGACTGGTGCCTGGACCAGCTTGAGACCCTGCAAACCAGGCACTCCGTCAGTGAAATGGCCTCGAACAAGGTAGGACCCATCGGACTCCCTTGCCCCCTATTTCTCCTCCTCACTTGCTACCAAAGCTGGAAATCCAGTGGATAGTTTTTAGCCAGGTACAAAATGCATCAAACTATATACAGGGTCCCCTTCAATGGGCCACACTGGAGTTTAGCCATACAACTCCAAGCAAAAAACTTTAATGCATCTCTGAGCTTCTTTTTAACGTGCATTACGCTGTTTAATTAAAAAAAAAACCTGAATGTTTGTAAATGAAGGAGCTGTTATCCTTAACTAAAATGTTCAAGGGTTTGTTGACCCTGACATCTAATATTACTGCATATGAGTGGCTCACCCAAGGATCGTAGTGCAAAGTTCTGTTTCTGATGGGGTGTGTGCATGCATAGAGGAGGGATGTTGAAAACAAATAGTTTTGAGACTTTGGTATATAGTTAAAGGGGATTCTCTGAATACTATTAACAAAACAAACAAAAAAAGATGCAGTGGACTAAGAAACGAAAATAGCTGTATTGGGCTTGAAATATGAATCTGAAGGATTGCTCCTGTAGTTTGTGCAGATTCCTTTGGCTGTAAATTTCAAGGCACATTTTGAAAGTGGTGAAACATTAGGTGTTGGAAGGTTAAACTATTTCTCTATTTCTGTTTGAGTTTAAAATAAGAGATATTATATTTGATTGCTGACCATTGCAATCTTTTCTGTTATTCATTCTTGACACACACATTCTGTTATGAGCCAAGAAAATGGTATATTTCAATATCAGAAGTTAATTATCTACAATGGAGAGGTACAAGGTTGTAAGCAATCTTGTGCCAGAGAGTAAACGTCTGAAAAGGTGATAATAAAGATAACACTCTATTCAATATGATTGTATTTCAAGTGGTACAGACCCTATTTTAGCTGTAAATATTGATGCTAATATATGGCATAATATTGTTTATTACTAATGTTTGGAAGGAAAAAGAGCATATATTTTCAAATTTTCTGCAGAGAATAAGCCTTCCAGATAGCCCATTTCACCATCCTACTTTCCTCTGTGCCCTCAAGGCCACAGACTGAATATTCAGCTAATATTTATAGTGTTCATTTTATTGGGCTTTACCTGACATTACTGAGAATTTATTTTACATCTGTAATAAGCAGAACTTACTACAAGATACTTTGGGAGGTGTATGTTTTCCCCACATTTGTAATCACTCTAGGAAAAGGGGGGTTTAATTGTAACAAATAAAGTACACTTCTTTCCTCTATTCCGCCTATGCAAACAGCTGATTAACCTTTTAATAAACTTTTATTATTTTGAATTATTTTCATTTTTTTTAGAAAATCAAGAAAAACAAATAAGGTCTTCCTTAATGTAATCTCTGTCTTTTATTTTACCTTTCTGCTTTCTTGTTTTGACTGCCATTCCCAACTTTGTCACTAGTTTTCATCAATTGCCTTTTATTTAACCGGATACTCTTCTGTGGCTGTGTATATGATGTCAAGCATCTCAACTTTTATGCTGCTTTAGCACCATAATATATCCAGTAAATTTCTCAGTGACCGTTTATACTTCTCCCGTCTCCACAGTCTCTCTGGTTCTGGTCAGCTGGTTATTTCTGCTGCTTTTATGATTTGAAAGTAAAACTGACAGTAAGAAACAGACGCACCAAAGAGATATGGTGTAAAGCTCAACATTTCCAAAACTTTAAAAACAGTTTTGTACCAAATTGTTTAGCAACAATTCAAGCAGGATCTGATCCTGAGATACTGAGCTCCTACATTTGGGACTTGCAGATATTCATCACCTCAGAAATGGTCCTTATTTTTTTACTGTAAATCAAGAGATAGTGGGTCTGTTCCAGCTCGTATTGAAGTCAGTGGCAAAACTCCCATTTTTAAAAAGGGAGCAGGATCAGTGCCTCAGTTAGGGCTTGATCCTGCATTTCTTGCCAATCCAATCCAAGTTATTGGATATGTATAATGTGGAAAGAATGCAGGTTTAGATAATTAATTTGCAAAAGGAAATGTACATAAATATTATCCAGTTTGTAATTATAATATTGAAGGCTTTTACAGATCTTATTAAATACATTTAAAAACACTTGTCCAATCACTTTAGGACGAATGACCCCACAGCAAGTTAACATTGGAAGACTTCTATAGGGTTAAGATGCCTATCTAATTTGTTGATCCATCAACTTGCTTGTTTATGATACTTATATGGCCCTCTCTTTAGTAGTACCCGAGAAACTTTCTAGTATTTAAAAAAAAGAAATAGCAAGTTATATTTTATTGAATCCAATCCTAAACCAAGGAAGATATGGTGCCTTTTATGAACACAGGAGACAAAACTTTAAAAAAATAAGATTTAACCAGTTACAAATCAATATAAAAATTGCTAGTTCAGTCAAATATATTAATAATCTTGACTTTAAAAAGATTGGTCATTATTTTTGAAAACATAACAAATTCTGATTGACTTTAGTCTGAGAAAATCTATAGCTTCTTTCTTGACCCTGCACGACTGCAGGTCTTATCCCGGCTCCTTTCCCCCCTTGTGTTTGTATGGTTAAAGCACTTCTGATTTGCCAGAGATAACAGGATAAACATTCTTCATATGTACTTATTGAAATCAGGAGGAAAATGTGTCACATAAAGGTCTTCTCATTTCTTCAGAAACAGGATCATGCAGGCAAGGCATTTGATATGAGATATACAGTAAGCTGGGTTGTCATAGCCAATCTGAAGGTCAATCAGAATGATGCTATATCTTACGTCAGAACTGGAAATTAATATTGCAGTCACATATTGAGTAGGTTTACTTGATCCATCAACTATGGATATAGATGTCAGACACTCTCTGTTGCTAGTTACAATACAACACACTAAAATATTCAGAAACGCTCTCAGATAGTTTTATGTTGCATTAAGGTTGGCAGGCCATAAATGAAATCGCTTTTTATTTTTTGTCTATGTAAATCTATGTGTATGTTTTCAGTGTTCTTTTTTTCGTAAATCAAAAACAAATCAAATGCCATTAGTCATCTTGCGAAGAATCATTATAATAAATCAGTGAGCACATACAATAGTGAGGAAAAATCAGTAAGAAAAAGCTTTCAGTTTCAAATGTCGCAGGAGTTGTTATGAACAGTCATTTTAATTCTAATTATTTGTAAAAATATCTAGTATTTAGACAACATGTTACATTTTAAAATAATTATACTAACGTTAACTAATGCTCACGACATCCCTGGTAGATATGTAGATAGATACTGTATCCTAATTCACGGGAAAACTGAGGCAGAGAAGTCTAGTCTGAGGTAAACAGATAGCCTTTTGTGCAATAGGGATAAGAACTCAGGAATGCCTGACCGCAGTACTAGGATCTAAGCATTAGAAAAATACAAAAATGTATAACAAAATAAAGTGAAAGGGAACCAACAACTTATAAATCACACTAGTGTCTGAATATGTTCTTTGCCCACCATTTTTACAAGTAACATTTAAAGATCACTGTAATTGAAAAAAAAATAGAGATGGTGCGGGAAAGATACTTCTCTTTTTTATTTCCAATTTGTTTACTTTGTGCATTTGGCAGCACTTTCTGCATAGTCAGTTCAGTTTTACTCTTTCCCCTGTGCTATCAGTCAATTTCCCCTGTTTGTGTGAGTCTTTTAGACATAGTGGGGTGGCATAGGAACTGGCTATGTTGTCTTTGCACCAGCTAAGGACTCACTCATATCAGTGGTGCAAAAGCAGCTATATTAGAGGAAAGAATGCCTATCAGGTTATGGTAGTCTGTGCCTCGTGTGTATCAGAACTGTACTATAAACTTCTTAGGCCAGGGAGCATGTCTACTGTACAGCTACTATCTTGATCTGATAGCATGGACCATTGAGCCCTTATTGAGTTTGACTGACTTCATTAAGTCTCTGCTCAAGCACAGAAGGCTCCTCTATCTGATCTTAATGCAGGATTAAGTCCTGTGTTTATACAGTTTGGCGCATTCTATTTGTACACAATAAATAGTAATCAGTTACACGCAAACTCATAGCTATGGACTCAGGAAAGCAGAGTTGGTATAAATACGAGGGAGCATCTTGAGGAACCACATCACAGGGATGTAAAAGGCCTTTGGCTGGTTGGGTGGGAATTTCCACAGTGCAGGCACCGTGTAAGATAGCCATAGGTGGTGCTCCACAGGCCCCCTCGCAAGCCTGGGCATAGATTCATAGATTCTAGGACTGGAAGGGACCTCGAGAGGTCATCGAGTCCAGTCCCCTGCCCGCATGGCAGGACCAAATACTGTCTAGACCATCCCTGATATATATTTATCTAACCTACTCTTAAATATCTCCAGAGATGGAGATTCCACAACCTCCCGAGGCAATTTATTCCAGTGTTTGCCAGGGGAGTGAGTGTAGCCCAGAGAGCTATGGCGATTCTGGGCAGCTCTATAGCCTGGAGCTACCCAGTAGGCAGTTCAGCCAGGGCTGCCATAACTCAGAGCAGCTTCCTGGAATGCTTAAGTTATTTAGGGGTTGTGCCAGCCCCTGACCATGCCTGAATTGAGAAGGCCCAAAAGTAGTTTCTTGGAGGAACAGCACACAATCTCACCCCTGGTCTATATGCATGGCTCTATAAATAAATCAGAGTTCAAAAGAACATCACAATCAAATAGTGAGTTTATTTCTGTAGTCAATAAGCACGTTGCCAACTCTAATGATTTTATTGTGAATTTTGAACTATTTGGTGTTTTTTCTTAAATCCTCAGCTCCTGGAGTCACGAGTACCAGATAATCTCAGCTTTCATTTAAAAAAATAAAGTATGTTTCTAGCCCACATGGTTGTGGAGAAAAGCTTGAAAACATAATCCCTAAAGGCTCAAAAACCAGAAGGCAGATAAAAAGAAATATTTTTTTATCATCTCATGATTTCTGGGGACCAGATTTCTGATTTTTGAGCCCTTGGATTGGCAATAGTGGGTAAGGCATGCAGACTGGGTGCCCCATTCATTGATGTGCCT